ACTTTTTGGAGTCATTTAACAAGACTCGGATAAAGCGTTCTTAAAAAAAAAAAATTTCTTTGACGTCAGATACAGCTTAGAAATATTCGACCTCAGTCGCAAAGTATGCTTCCCACCGATCAATCATGTTACGTAATTTAGCTAAACGAAATAGTCGCGGTTTTTTATTGGAAAGACGTTTTAGGGTGTTAGTATACCAAGGTGCTTTAGCATCAGATTGAATACGCCTGACGGGTACATGCGCATCAGTCAGTTCGTTCACTTTTAAACAAAACAATCTCCAGTCTTCCTGCACGCTTCGTTGATCAAATTGTGGCAGATATGTGTCTAGATAGCTGCACAGTTCTTGATTAGGAGCAACTTTGAGATAAAAATTTAACAACAAGTGATTGCTGAAGCCTGGAAGACACGTAAGGGAAGATATAAGGCCAGGGTGTGTCGACAGAATGAAATCAAGCGTGTTCGCTGTATCATTGGCCTACCTTGTTGGTTTTGTTACCAGCTGTGTCAAATTAAAACACGCACACAGATAAAAAAAATGTTGACTCTGAGTTGAAACTGGTTGAGAAGAAGATGGGTCAGACAACGTGATGTCAAGAAAATTAAATTCTTCTAATAAAAAAAAATAGGAGATTTAGGATACTGAAAAACTATAGAATTCATAACGTCATGCAAATCATCGATAAATGTCACTGGGCTGTTAGGGGGTTGTAGCAGACACCCAGTAAAAAAGGAGACGAAGCAGCGCTAAAAATTCTTAGAGCATAAACGTCATCCTGCTCGTGGTCGTGCATACAAATATTCTTCAATAGAAATCTCTAGGATCATCGAACTCATATCAAATTTTGTATTTCCTAATTGAAGGCGACGGCAAAAACAATTAAACCCCAATAACAGAAAACAACAGAAACACAAAAAGCATTACTTCCTATAACACAGGACCCCCAACAACAATAAGAACAAGTACAATACAAAAGTTCGGACAAGAATAAAAAAACATCAACAACAATTGGCACTACGAAAACAAGATTGACAGCAAACACTAAAAATACGATAATACGAGCAAGAAAACAACAACAGGAATAGCTACGAGAATAAAAAGAAATAGTCCGAGAACGACAAAACACCACTATTAACAACAAGAAGATAAAAAAAAAAAAAACAACTTCGACGACTACTTTTTACAAATATACGCTGGCATTACAATATAGGCAGGCGTTCAAGGCCGGCAAGTAGAGATTATTTCCACGGGTGAAGACATCAAACTTCCTCAATTACGTGTCGGGATATCAAATAGAAAGAACGCAATTCGCCAACGACATCGAACTATACGCATCCTTTGTTATTTTTCCCTTTCCTCAGTTGTGTCGTCACATATTTCGCGCAACAATTTGCAACTCGAAAAAAAAAAAAAAATGAGTGCAGTTAGGGAGTTTTTTTGGCGGAAGCCTCTTCTCACAACGTGACAAAAAAGCGTCTTGCTGCTGAAAGTTAAAAAAAGTAATAAAAGAAATGCAACTCGCGAAAAGTTTATAGAACAAAACCTTTCCTCACTTTCACAGTGAATGCGGATGTATTTACAATGACGGTCAAGAGCAGTAGTTCTCAAATGAGGGTCCGCGAAGTCATTCAGGGGTCTGTGAGCCCTGCCTCATCAGTCAAGCCCAGCAATAAAAGTTGCCATTTTTTCAGACTGCGAAGAAACGTTCCAACTTTCGGGCAAGGTACCTCATGTGCATGTCAATGAGAGAAGTCTACTTCCACTAGCCCTTAGTTATATTCAAATATTAAATCATTATTATAATTTTAACCTATACCTTTTCCTTCCCCCCGTCACGAACGGGGTCCTCCATCATCTGCGCCGATTCACAAGGGGTCCGCGAAACATCGACGGTTGAGAACCACTGGTCTATAGAGTATTCATATGCACATGCGGATGTTTTCGCAACAACTAAAACGCCCATGGAAAGCCCCCAAGTTACACCACACTCGTATACAGAGGGTGGATAACAACAGCCAAGATGATTTAAATCGCAATTTAAATCAGGCTTTAACCCGCGATTTCAATACCACCGGTTTTACTACGATGATTGAAATTAAAACCTTTCCACCCTGCTTGTGGGCGATTCCCCAAAACCATGCTAATGTGTATTTGACACGTATGGCATTATCAAGCGGACTTAAGCAAAAACAGTTAACCTCCCCCTAAAAAAAAAAAAAAAACAAAAAAACACGTGTTTTTATATATGAAAAAACTACACATTGCAGATCGCTCGTTTTCCATCCAAATGTAGAGCTAGTGGTCCGGACCAGATAAAAAAAAAGTCTCAGAACGAACCCTTTCGCTATTCAAAGTTATAAGCGATTTTTAAGAAATTTTCAATGGGAAACTGATTGGCGACAAACTCCACGAATACATAGGGATGCATGGCGCAAACTACCCTAAGCGGGCTCTCCATATCCCATTAAAAAAAAAAAAAATCGTCTGTAGCATTTAAAAATAAAAATAAAAATCTAACGGTTCGTCTTGAAACTTTGGCATCATATCCGAACCGCTATTACTACGTCTGGGCGGAGTGTGAGCGTTTGGCGGTGAATAGTTAATTTTTGCGGGGAAAGAAACGCTGTTCGTGTTTGCAGGGCCACTTTCTACTTAATAATTGCTGTTACAAAAAAAGAAAAAGTTTTACTTGGCATCACATTATTTTCTGGTAGTTTCCACTTTTGACGCATAAGTCTTTATGCACCTCGTTTCTAATCCCTATACGTGGAATCAAATTTACGGAACAAGTTGTTACCTATCGATTCACAAAGCTCGGTGTTAAAAATATGATATCACGATAGCGTGATATTGCACTCTAACGTTGCGCCGCACTATTACGGGCCGTTTTTTTTTAATTTATCAATTAAAAAAAAACGATCATCAGTACTTTAATAGGATCCTGTCTGGAAGGCACGTTAGATGGTAAAACAATTCACGATTTTATAAGCGCGCGTATTCCGATTACAGGAACACGTTAGAGTGCTCACTTCACCGCCAACTACGTGACTCCAAGGCGAAGCCGACTTTTAGTAGATCCCGCTTGAAGCACGAATCTTGTCGGTTCCGCAGATAAATACTCGCTCCTATTAATTTTTTACACTGAGAAATCTCCTTCGTTTCAAATGAACATTAAAATGGAAAAAGGGAAAAGAAAATTACCGTCACTTCACCGCTTTAGAGTTTAAAATATCTTTGCTTGGAAGATTAGGAACGCTAAAGTATACACCCTAGAATTTAGGTATATTTGAGGACTATACATGTTCAACAGTTGAAATTTTACGCGTCGATGACTATCTGGAGGTTCGAACTATACAAGGACCTTACTTTTGCTCTAGCTATATTATTAAGACTAGACTCGAGGGACTTCGTGAAGGACAGCGCATGTTCATGATGATTTGCGCATGATACAATATTCTGTGTGAGCTAATAATGCAGGCACCTTTGAAGGTGTGCTGCTGTGTATGATAATTCTTTAACGGACTGACTAGGCACCAGTGCCGACTATGCATCGGATGAGGGCTATCGAGGAATCACTTTCTCCTTTTCAGACGAAGGTTTCCCCTTGCCGACTCTATAGTGTCTGGGTGTACGGATAACTTTTGATTTGTCCAAAAAAACACGCGTACAATATACCTTTAACAACGCTAGTCGCGTGCTTAGATACCTTAAAATACATCTTTTTTTTTTTTTCACCTACGTCTTTGAAGCTACTCCTGTACAAAACCCGTGTTCGCAGTAAGCTGGCATATGCCGCATCTATGTCGGACCCCGGGCTTAACTAACTCATTTCAGAATTGGAGCCTGTTCTAACTAGCTACCATTGTACTAGTTACCATTGTATTAGCTACTAGTTACTAGCTACCATTGTACAGCCAGCGTAACCGCAATGAAAACCGGCTTGTCGTTACCAACTGTTTCCCTTAGTCGAAGAGTCTCCCGCGTATGTTTGTTCTATAAAATATATCATAACAGCTCATCTGTCAAGCAAAGGTTACTACCACAACCCCATTACCTGGAAGCGCGCAAGAATCACACATACAAAGTTTGCATCCCACCCTGCAGCACAAACGCACACTTTATCATTATTTTATTCCCAACTTCTCTTTGGGTTGGGATCCCTTTCCCGTGCCTGTTGCCGTAAGTATTGAGACTAGAAGTTTTAGAAATGCCGTGATTAACCTGTATTGTTTCAATGAGCAGCTATATAAGTTCCCCAGCTGTTGTTAGGTGCGTATTTTCTTCGTATTGAAAAATAAAAGAAGCCTTTTTTGTATTTTTTTTTTTGGCCCTGGAGGTAAACAAATAAATAAATAAATAGACTGGATAGTTCGTAGTACGGTATATTGCACACACACGCACAAAAGAAAGTCCACAATAAAAACTCGAACACACGTTCTGGGCGAATCTAACCGGAGCGGAGAAAAAAAAAAATGTTAGACAGCTAAGCTAAACAAGCTCTGATAACCGTAACCAGACACCATTTCGGCTTGATTTCCGCTTTCACGCGAACGCATAATCTCTTTTTTTTTTTGCGTTTTTCGTTTGGTTTCGCAGACCGTTTAGCATAGCCTTCATTAGCGAGCAGTGGCATTCTCGTATCCTATTTTGGCGCTCCTTCGGTCACCGCGCCGCCGCAACGGGGCGCCACCATCCTCCCGCAATTTCCCCTCCACGTCAAGTGACGTCACCGGTGAAGCGACGAACCCGTCGCCGACAGGCGGCGCGGACTAGCCTCCCTCCCTCTTTCCCTCGCTCCATCCGCCTATAAAAATAGAAAAACAGAGCGACTCCCGTAATCACGTGACCCAACTCTGCGGGCGCGGATTGGCCGTATTGATTTGTGAGAGGGTAACGCAGTGTGACGAGAGTTGATGAGGGCGAGACAAAGAACGAGAGGAGGAAAAAAAAATAGAGGGGAAGGGAAAGACGAGTCGCAGTCCGCGGCGCTTCGAACCCCAGGGCTCCGGGAAAACGTCTGCAACGCGGGGTTCGGAACCGAAACGGAGGCTTTCTTTCGGGGTGTTTGCAGACGAACTCGCGAAATCGTCTGTTATCTCAACGGCGGCGGTTCTTCGGAACCGTGGCGTACGTCTAGCGGTTCATCGAATGAAGTGAACGGTGTGGATTTCGATTTCTTTTTTTTTTTTTACCCCTTTTTGTTTTTTGGTTTCGCTGTTGAGGTCCGCCCAACGCGTAGTCAAAGTACGTGTAATCCGCCGCCGACCGGGAACGAAGCCTGATCACCGGTCGACCTAAAAGGTCAACAACAGAGAGACGCTCGCTTCCCTGGAAGTAGCGACATCGGCGAAGTGGAGATTCTGTGACTTTATTTTATTTTTTTCCTGGGAGACCTCCGTCAACGTTGACACTGAAAGGCCGCAGGGGTGAGTGATTTCTTCTGAATATTGACCGCTCTACGACCCTGTAGGCTTCCTGAAACTAGTCTTGGGCGGGTTACCGAAACCCAGTTCCTTCATGTTTATCTGCAAAAAAAAAAAAAAAAAAAAAATGTTCAGTTCTGTTTATTATTTAACAGAGACAGTTCAATGAATTACATTACATAAAGAAGAGATCTAGTAAACTTGAGTGAATGGCTAGTTTCCCAACAACAGTTTGTTTAATTATGAACAAAATACACATTATGCACAAAACATAATAACAGGCAAACTAGAAATAAACTGTAAATGTATCCGATTATACACTTTGATTAACAAAACAAATAACATTACTGGGGTGTGCCTCACAAAGACTAGTGAATTTATTCTGGTTAGTTTAAAATATCATTGTTTCAGGGAGAAAATTCCAATCCCTAATGGCTAGAGAAAGCTGGGAATTTTGAAATTTATTGGTTTTCGTGAATAAGGGTTTCACGTTTAGGTTGTGGTCACGACGCAATCAGGTATATGTGTAATATTGTATTGGAAGAAAAAAAATTGGAGGCATTTTTTATCGATGTCATGACAAATCGGTGATTTCTTCCTCTCATCAACAAACTCTTAAAAAAAAAAAAAATCCGGTGGACAATTTTGCCAAAACCCTGTTGGATGTCAAAGTTGAAATTCTGCTCAGTGCATTAACGTGCTTTTTTTTTAATAACGCTGCCGTCGACCCACTAGGGAGGCAATTAAACAATTAAGATACCGCGAGAGAATGTTGCACTACGATACCAACGCATGTGTTTGCGAAAAACAAATAAATGAAACGAATGAAATAAATCGGCAGCCTGCGATTTCGATTGATGCGAACATCCATCTGATGCTACTATGGGTTGGTGGGGGTGCGTCGTGTCTAAGAATTGCGTTGCGATAAACTGCAGCATGTGCACTAGTGCTTCGACCCCACATCAAACGGTCGGCAAAATCCGTTTCTCAACGTATCGCAGCTGTGATTTGCTAGAGAAGGGCTGCTAGATGGTGGAAGCTTAGAGTGAAAATATCTACAGATAAACTTACCTCGTTCTTAAGAAACAACAGCAACCACCCTGTTTTGGTCAATTTACGGAAGCATTCGTAGACAATGTCATGACCATGCTCGCCTAGTTTGTGCCGCTGACAGATGTCAGAAACATCCACCATTGTCTGCTAAGCCCAGCTTAGCAGACAATCTTCTGAAACTTTTCATTACGTCAGCGCTCGTCTCGTTAACGTACGATTTTCAAAATGCAATAATGTAATAATTAAAAAAAAAAAAAAACTGAATAGGAAAGTAGAGACTTAATTTCCTTGTGGCTTTCCATTTTTGGCACGGGGTAGTGGCCCGCGTGCTTTCTAATTCTTTTTGTGTCTCACGCTGCGCCATCTGTTGGCAGCACGAACAACTAGGCGAGCACAGTCATGACGTCGTCTGCGAATGCTGTCGTAGATTGCCCGGAACAAATTTTGTATTATTATTTGAATGAGGTAAGTTCATCCGCTGATATTTTAACTCCAAGCTTCCACCATCTAGCCGTACCTCGGTAGTAAATCGCAGCGCGATAAGTTGAAAAATCGATTTTTGCGGACTGTGGAAAGGGGGATCGGAGTGATTCTGTACATGTTGTAGCCAATTGTAAAAAAAAAAAAAAAAAAAAAAAAAAAAAAAGAACTTTTTATTTTACTTCGCTTGAATGCAAAAGAGAGCATATAGATCTCATTTCTATAATATGTATTTTATCTTACTGTGTTTCAAGGGACATAATGAATTGGGGTATACTTTCCCAAAGGTACGTAATTTGGAGTGCTTATAGTGACAATAAGCTCCGAGTTGGGACAGTTCGAAGAATGTCATAGTGCCACCCTTCAAATATCCGGAAAAGGCAAAATGAGCTACGAAAACCTCTATGCCAAACACAGGCTGTGATTGAAAGAAAGAAAAAAAAATCTCACTTTGAGTTTTTGGTTTTAATCGTTGCCTATTCTAACAAATCAACAACGGCAAAAGCGTTTCTCTTCGTAGCATGGATGAACCCTGCTTCTCATAGTGTTACATCTTTCAGTTCATGTTTAGTGTGATTGTAAAGTTTTTGAAATGAAGCATATTACGTCGATTCATACGTTGTCTTCAGCAGTTTCTGCTAACTTACACGGAAAATGCGCTCCTAAACCAGATAGGCATTGTTTAAGGTTCATATTGTAATAATATTGTATCCATATTGTAATAATGAAGTGTCCCAGAGCGAGTCAATTACAGTGCCTCTATGAGCATCTTTTCATAGCCAATAATCATCACCTTCATTTGATGCGGAAAGCAGACCTGTGTGGAACAAACAATTTTCTTTTTTGCCGAAAAACAAACCAACAACAACAGAAGAGTATGATGACGACGATGACGATTAAAACTACAACATAAAATAATATGCGCGCTACCAAATCACTTTTTTTCCTCTCCAAGAATAACGGAACTTTTAATTTGCACAGTTATTCATTAGGTAATGTCCAATTTAATCCGATATTCCATATGTTAGACATCTATCTGCGTTGTTAGGAATACGGTGAGCGCGGTAGTGTCGAAAAATCACTGCGAAGTCATTGCCGCGAAACAAAACTAGAGACATATCTGCTACCTCCAGGAAACGTTCTACCAAAAGCAAACAAGCGCCATACCTAAACAGTTTTATAATTAAGCTATTGAAGGGTCTACCTCATTACAGTTAAATATGAAGTTGCTTTTTTTTTTTTTCTATACGGGAACGCGCACAGCTTAGACAAGCACAATACAATATCCAATGGCATCGTTGTAAAAATAACGCGTATGGTTACGCAGTTCCTCAATTTTTTTATATATATATATATTTTTAAAATTTTTAGTTGTTAACTTTAGGGAACCGTACCCTGATGATATCTCCTGGCCCGAAGATAAGTTGTCACGATCGTCCACTTTCAGAGATTCCCATCGATTGTTCGAGTGTATTTTTTTTCTTACACTTTTTTCAATATAAAAAACAGAGTAAGAGTCCACTATAACACGCAGGCAGATTAATCCATCGGCGCTCACGTTTGCATTGCACGCAATGTTCAGTGATCATTTTTCGGTCCCCAGGCGAGCTACGTCATCGTGCCGTCTTCCGGGCAACCAAAAGACACTCTACATCAGATACCTGTGTGCATGACTATAGCAGTCACGCGACAGTTCCGAACGGTAAAGGAAGTAATTGTCTTAAACGTTTTCCGTGCAACTAAAAAGTTACACGAAACTCGCGACAAGAAGTCACGTCATGTATCCGTAAGGGGAAAAGAGGTAACTTCCTTTCAACCTTTTTGTGTACTCAAAGCGTTACTCCAAATAAGGTAAATTCCTTCTATTTAACGTAAATCAAATGAGAGTTAAAAACGGCCATTTTCCTTAAACTTTTAATAAACAGTATAGCTACAGTAAGAAAATGTATACATATATATTTTTTGACTGTGTTAAGAGTGTACCTGGTACCCATCCATACCGATTCCATTTTGCAAAAAATGTGCTAAAAAAACATGCGTTACAGACGTTGCAGAAGCCAGCAACATGGGTTAAGACATTCACTGACCACGGGTACTAAAGGAATCGCGCTTATTGAAAACAGCAAACGCTACATTATTATTATAATGCAATTAATTGCAAAGGTGCAAGCGAGCTGGACAAGAATGAGGAGAGTGACCCCTAGAGAAGGAGAACAAGAGGAACAAAGGACAAACATAAATCTCCAAGCAAAGCTAGCTGACTTGTGCGCGACCGAAAATATCCGCCAGGTTTGCGGGTATCGAACCCGGGACCTCTCCGTTTCCATTATTACCGACACAAAACGGCTTCGAAAAGTAGTTCCCTGAAATGTATCGGGTGTGTGGGATAAAAGAGAACCAAGTTTTCCTCGCCCCAAAAATAAACGACACACCAACGAGGGCTGAACCTTGACTCAAATGTAGCGCTATAGCGGTTGGAGTCACATGCAAGTTTCCAAACTTACCGTTCATTGATTCAAGTGTTATGAACGATCTTCCAAACAAACAAAACAAAAAGACGCGTTTAAGGGTGCTTTGCGGCGAATACTATACACAAGGATGAACACGTTTTGCTATACCGGCAGTGTGGCCCCATTTCCATATACCGAACACTTTCTAAAATGTTCTAGAAATTTCTCCCCTAAAAATTTAGCAAACACGTTTTTTTTTTTTAAACAAAGTTACGTGACATCGCGACTTCGTTTCGTCACCTGTACACGAAACACACCCGCGCGAGTCCTCGGCGAAACTTTTCGACAATAACGGCTATCGCCGCGAAAAACGTCAGATGATCAGAGCGCGGTTGCGAATGCTGCACTCCACCCGCCTTCCGTTTGGCTTCTTTGTAAGCCTCCGTCACGCCCCTCGTGTACATCGTGCGAAATACACGGTCGTGTTCGGTGCGGACAGAATAACAAAATAATCTGCGAACCTGCCTCGGGCAAGTTCGGCGCACGTTTGCTTCCTACATCTGTATGCTTCGAAACATGCGTATACAGAGAGATTCCGTCTGACCGATGCAACAAAAGCGTCATAGAAGAAAAAAAGATAGTGTTTGGAGACTCTCTTTCGTGTGATGTATTGACAGTGGGACCGCGGATTGAATGCAGCCTTCGCAAAGCGCCACGAGAAAGCCATGTCATAACCGGATGTTGCGACTTGACCCGATCTAACGAACAAACATTGTTTACTACAAAAAAAAAATATGCCGGGAAATTTAAAAAAAAGTATTCGACCTTTAAAAAAATAACACTTGGAGGCCAATAATATAAAAATAAAAGAGTGCCCTTTAGGCCTTGTTATTTCCGTTGTTTACCTTCTTTCTTTTAGACTCAATATTGATGTGTTTATGCGCACGCGTCTAGTAAACTAACAACAAGATTTAATTTGAAAAAAAAAAGGAAAAGAAAATGGCGTCGATGCGACGTGGC